AAATGTTAATGCTCCTTCTTCATGTTAGTGAGCTCAACATACACAGTATTGTTATTCACTCCCCAAAGCCTTAATTCAGTTAAATTGTATTTATAGATCTCCGTTCATACAGAATTATCTTATTGCACTTGTCATAAGCAGGTCATGTAAAAATTCAAGACATGAGCCAGATAAAGTGTATAACACTTCATGCACCAACACTGTGACCACTGAAAATAGGCGGCCTTTTGTATTTGCAGATCTGAAACCTATTCCTCAGACTTGCAGACCTTCAAGAAAATACCCAAATTAGTGTTTACACGTTGTGAAATAATCATAATCATGCGGTGGGATGTTTCTGTTTCCAACACATTTGAGCAAGTTATAATGACAAGGATTTCCATTACTCCTCTCTCCTTATTACCCTTTAAATGAGCTTAACATGTTAACTACCTATACGTGCTGTATATAGTGAGATCTACCATGTAAATGGTTTATACTCCTGAAACAAAATATCTTATGCAGTGAGCTGTTCTTTTCTTATATACTTAGCAGGCTAACAACTATAACAACACCTAATGTGTTGAAAGGCTCACATCATCAAATTGAATGACATTGCTATTGGATGTACAAATAGTAAATCTTGAAATAAAACTCAGTTGTTCATTAGTGCACTACAATTCTTCCATACTTCAGACTAGTTTACTAATACTACCTCCAAAAACAGAAAAATAGATAACTCAGGTGTTCAGCATCACACGTGTGTCTCAGGTTATCATTACAGTTGCACAAACCCAGAGCAGACAGTGATCTCTAACAGCTAGAATATAAATTAATCCCACTAGATCCCTTTTTTCTAAAAACTCTGTTTAAAAACACAAGGAATTCCTGATGTTCTGATCCCTTTTTGCTGAAATTTAGTAACAGGTGGCTGCTGGAGGAGAGCAGGACACCAAAGTTATTGACTCAGTATATTTGTGTTAATGAATCAATTATTAATGACATATCTTGCTATTTTAGATCCTGAGCTAACCTTATTCTTTGGATTTAACATCAGTCTCTATTTTCTTTTTTCTTCCTCTGTCTTTCTATTTTTCTTCTCCTACAAATTATCAACACTCCTGCTCCCAAACTCCTGTGAGGTCTTCAAACAGATGTTTCTCAGCAGATGTTGCAGTTTTCAAGGCCTCTGACAGTCTGACCATTTGTAAAGTTGGTCATGGTGAGACAGAGAGCTCTTCCTTGGTGA